CTATACCCACTGTATATATAATACTTATAGTGTAATTTCCAGTCATGTTAAGGGGTGTTAATGTTACGGGGCTGACAAGACTTGAGACGTGCGGATCCATGTGCAAGCTATTTATTAGCAGAAGACAGAGACGTGGTCATAGAACAGGCATGGGTCAGATAATGGCAGACAGGTATATGGCGGGCAAGACACATGAAGAAACCTAAGGCTAGCAGAGGTCAACGATCGGCAAACAGAATCAAAGGGGCGAGACTCGAGGGTAAGTCCAGGTACAAGGCAAGGTCCAGGCAGGGGCAACCAGTATCAAAATAGGGCAAGACGAGAGGAGGAATCCGAGAGACACAGGCGAAGATCAAGATACGAGAACACAGACAAGGCAAGACTAAGGTGAGGCTATGACAAACTAAATAGGCTCCGTAGTGTAGCTATCGCTAGGGGAGAGATATACGCTAAACAATAGTCAGCCGTGGGAAGGGATCATCAGAGTGAGTGTTAAATAGGGGATGTGTGATTGATTACAGCTGTGTGCAATCAGTGCTGTGCGCAATCAACTGTGTGTGTCATCAGTGCAGTGGATGATGGGATATGTAGTCCGGGGTGATATGCAACAGTGTGTAGTGCGAGAGTCAATGAAATGGAAAGGGTGACCTCTGATGGCTAGCAGACGGAAGTTCATGGACCGGATACGTGACAGTTAAATGACTAAACTAGTATCAACTGAATTACAAAGTTCTCTTCTGTTTATTTTGATATAATTATGGCTTTAGGTTATAATTAAATATGTGTCTGATGCCTGCCGTATAATTAAAACCTCATTATTATTATTATTGAATAAAATGTTAAATAAATCAGACAAATTATATATGAGCAATCCCCTCTGTAAAAACTTTCAGAATATAGACAGGAATATATCTGAAAGGTTTAGTGTATGTAAGTGCTATTGAAGTGGAGATTTCTGACCCAGTGCAGGAGAAAAACTCATTTTGAGAAAACAGCCTTTAAAGATATGTATAATTGAAATCTGCAGACACAAACGAATAAAGTGATAAAATAAACTTTGTTGTAACAACATATTTTTCTATTTGACTATCATTCACACAGTTAAGGGATAAATAATAGATTTTTAAACCTCAAGTTGTATAAAAATATGGAATATGAAAGATTTACTCTATTAAATTAAGTGTCTACTTAATTACACTCACTATTAGTATTTTCATACATGAGATGTTTTAAGAAGTGACTATTTGATGATCAAATACCCAAAGATTTTTTTAATGAAAATCTGAAGGCAGACAAACATTTCTTACGTGCACGTCAAGAAGATTTCCAGGAAACAGAGAAGACATCTCAACGACGCATCTGTCACAACAGACACATGAAGTAAAGTCTGTGTCCAGGTGAAAGTGACAGTAGCGCCATCTGCTGGTCATACTTCATACATACCGTGACAGCCGAATTTCTTCCTGTGGAAAAGTTGCGTATTTATCCAAAACTTAAATTTCCCCTAATATAGGCATATCTTTTGTTGATGCATTTGACTGATGGGTTTTTAGACATGTATGAAAGCATGCATACATTCCATGCACATTTTAATGCTGATTGAGAGTTTAAACCAACAGAGTGAGTTATGTCAGCTGCATGAGATTAGTGCAGATATTGTAGTTTGTTTTTGTTCATTTTTTCTTCAGATGAGGAAGGTCTCTCTGATCCAGTATTTCAGTGTCTAGGGCAAAATAGGCAAAAACTGGGCAAGAAAAGCTGGTTTGATCCATTTCATACAGGCACTGCAGTGCAGGTTTAGCCTATTCAAATGATAGATCATCCATCATAAGCATTTTTCTTAAACTGTGTGTAATGAATATGTGATTTTACCATGTTAAAAAGACATTTGTTTCTTTTACTTATTAAAGCAATGCATAAGAGCTCCAGCATCTGGTACTGCATTCAACACTCCAGTATTTCACCCAGTCTAACCCAAGTACAAAAACACAAATGCAAATGCAGATGGATACACCTGTGCAGCCTTTGTATGTTATGTGTCGTGAGTCCTCCCTGAGCCAACAGCATCAGCAAACCTATTACTGGTACAAAACAAAGTCTGATCCATAAAAGAGGCTCTATTGGAGTTTTTCAGCAGAGACAAAGTAATGAATAAGCCCATTTCTTTGTCACTAACATACTCCTCATAAACTTCTTTCTTTCTTTCGCTTTCTTACCATGGTTAAGTTGAACATCAAGGATTTAAATGAAGATGTAAATGAAGCAGTCACTCCAGGCAAATGCTTCAGGATCATTTTCTGTGACTCCATGAACAATAAACGTAGGTGAAAAAAAGGTACAGGTAAAATGTAGATGAAAACTGTAAAAGCAGTAATATGAAAAACAGAAAAAGAAACTAGCAATATTGAATCCAAATTAACTTTTAACACAAAACCATTATTTATATATTAATCTTGCAGAAAAATAATATTTTATAAAATATATTTTTATTACCCAGGACCAATAATGACCACATGTCATTTCACAACCTCTCCTCTCTCCACTGAGACCTCCAGCACACATTCAGAGCAGCATATGTTGGTTTTCCACCCACTAACACATGCTATGAACAAGTGTGAAAAGATGCTGGCACCTAAAAGAGATTGAACAGATGAGTTGTCCCAAGCATTACCTGGAAGCCATTCCCATATGTAACAGGCAACAGCCAATAACTCGTTTCTCTCTATCACACAGTTGGCCCAGCGCAGCCCCTCAGCCATCTGCGCCAGATTTCATGGAGTGCCTGAGATGCAACAGCAGTCTGTCGCCTCAGTTACATTACATGTATGGCCCCCATGATGAATATACTGTGGGACATTAGCAGACATTTGGGTCTCTCCAAGATGAGTCTGTTGGACGGGATGACTGTACTGGTGGAAGCCAAGGGGGGCGGCTTGAGGACAGGACTGTCAGATTCAGCAAAGGCTGCACTGCTGATGAATGTAGTCTCCATCAACAGACAGATGATGAGTGGACACCAGCAGAACCCGGATACAGGCAGAACTAATACAGCGCAACGACACACACCATTTACAATGCAAAGAGACCAACTATGACACCTGTGTGAGAAAGCAAAGGGAACTAACACAGACGCCGAGAAGCCCAGAGGGCCCGGGACAATCACTCAGCACAGTGTGTGTCAGCATGACAGAAGTGTCCACATTCCAACAGCACAGACCAGCGGAAGTTTGGTTGAAATTCAGACAACAGCACAGATACCAGCATTGGGGTGACACAATGGTATAGTAATGGTATCAAATGATAAGACCATGGTATTTTGTTTTCTATACTCATCGAGATGCTGCTATATACTCATATACCATGGTAAAGGTATTTGCAAGGTCTTTAAAAAGAATTTCATGGAAGTTCTTCTAAGGAGTTCTTCTTCAGTGAAATATTCTCTGAGGAGCCACTGTAGTCATATGTAATATTTATGAAAACAATGATGTGTACACCCCGTTTAGGATAGGTAGCTGTTTTATGATTTATGTTACTCCCAATGTATCATATAATAAACACTACAGATGAGGCAGAGAGCTGCAGTATTCATGGCTGTGCGCCACCTGCTGGTTGATTTGTGGTACAGGTTGATCATCCTCCAGTGCTAGGAAGAGGAGACCCACTTTTTACACGCTAGGAAAAAGATAAGCAGATAAATATCACACAGCATTCATAACCGGTACATAATAAAAGGATAAAATAGTGCATTAGAAATCTAACAATATAAATAACATGCACCAGAGATATACTGTATTTTTTACCGCACCATAGTAACTTTAATTGTGGTTTGGGGACGTTAAGGATTTGAGTTAGGCCTAGGCTATGTGTAAAGTTAGAGTTAAGAATAAGATTCTGTGAATATCTCTTTGTGATGGATGGATATTAATTTCATGACTGTCTGGAGATCCCAGAGATGTGTTTTAGATTTTACAAGATTCATTATGTTCCCATTGCTCATATCCAGTTTTCCCCTCTTCCTCGAGTTCAGATTTGGCTGTAATAGATGGTGCAAAATATTCTTGGTAAAAGATAAATAAACCATAGTACTGCAGAAGCCCATGCAGCCTCACTGGAGCACTCAAAGCTCATCATACTCAAGTCCCGCCAATTATGCCTCATTGAGTTCTGTTCCACTCTCGGGTTTGTGGTTTCCATCCGTGTGTGGACAAAACAAAGAACACTGGAAAATTCTGTGGCATTCCCTACATGCTAAACAACTTAACTTAATATCTCCCTGTCCAGATGTGGACTTTGCATATTTCAGTCTTTCTAAAAAGTAGATGATGTTGGCCCATGGATGCCATGCTTTCCTGATGGGGATACATGACTCCACCAAAATGGACTCTAGGGATTATAGCAAATCTAATCTATTTCCTCCGAGGCTTTAAAAGATTAAAATGATTAATGGGCGATCATTCATGTATTTTCACCTTCCTTCCTGTTACAGACAAACCATGCTACTGTGGATCAATTTATGTAGAGAAGAAAATGTGGTTAAAGGTAACAATAGTTTCAGAGGCAAAGGCACAATATTTCCTGTCACATTAGTCTGTTTAAACTCATTACATGTCTGTTGTTTATCTTATATATGTAATTATAAAAAGTGTTGCCAAAGAAGTACAGTTGCTTTCCACAAGCCACTCAAAAAGAGTTAGTGTGAAGAAGCTATTGATGACAATGTTCCTCAGGCTAAAACGGTACAGTAAACCGAACTGAGCATCATTTCTCACACCACTTGTTTACATGTATTTGAATGTACATTTAAACCACATACTGCTTGCGCCCCAAGGCACAATAACATCATTAGTAACAATGAATCTGATTCTTAGCTCAGTCAGTGTGCAGAAATTGAACACCAGCCTGCAGGGTTTGTGGGATATGGGTTTCTACTTTATGCCAATCATAAATGATTAAAGACAATGAATAAAACACACTTCCTTTATCGGTACAAAGCAATCCCTCTTTATTACTTCTGTGAACTTGTTAAGATTGAAAAATAAAACACTTGCTTCAGCTTGAAGTGGAACTTGCAGTGCTTTTTATTATTATTATCTTTTGTTTGTACATTTCCAATTTGGGTTGGCAACGAAGAATGGCACTTGAGTGATTCCCATGTTGACTGGTTAATACATGTATAAACATTACTTCCTAAACGCTATGTCCTCAAAGCACCACTGGTGCAACTATTTACAATTTACATGTTGTATTTGTTATACGTAATATAATGTAATTAAGAGAACTGAAATGAAAACATGCAGCAATGGTATCCAGCACCCATGAGCAGCAGTACTGGGTAGAGCTGACCTGAGGCCAGTCGAATAATTTGAATGAATGCTCTCTGATTCTGGATCAGGCCAGCTATCAAACAGCATACTGAACCGACTGACTACAGGTCCACAAACTATGGAAACACTAGAAAGAACAGAAACTCTGCAACAAATGCTTTAAACATTGCTTAACGTCTTTAGTGTACTGATGCTTAGAAATCTAGACATGCCTTTTAACATTCATGCATTTTTTTCTAAATCAAACCAGCTGAAGTCTGCAGCAAAGTGGGCAACAACAACAAAAAGAGTGAATAACCGCAACAGCTCAGAAGTGTATTGTACACTACTACAGTATTTACCGTTAATAATACAGCTGAGAACACTACTGCATCTTAACATTTGAAAAGAAGATAAATACAAGAATATTTATTCAGTTTTATAGATCATTTTTAAATTTATATAAAAGCTATTGATGCTAAAAGTGGTTTAAAAAGAGAAAATAAGAAACAGTGCTATTTTCAGCGCTTTTTAAGCTGCATGAGATTTGCTGGCACTCAATGGGAACAATAAATACTAGCTCTGTACTCCTCTTCGGTGTGGCAATGTTGTCTTCTGACCTGAAGCAGACAGGTCTTAAACCTACGGGACAAAGGAGGATAGAATAACAAGCACGTGTAAAAGCACTAGTTTAAGCACGACGAATATTTTTACTAAGCTGAGATGAGTTTTAATGCAAATAGCAATGGAAGTGTGATGCCATGGAGCGAAAGCCAGACTTACTGCAACAGTGGTTACTGAGCTCACACTATAGTAGAGGGACCAATCACCTGAGCTTCCCCCTATGACGAGAAGGAGATGGGTGCAGGTGTTATCACAGGTTAAAGGGGAGGCTTTGATTTCAATCGTCAGGTGATCAGTGTCTTCTTTAATGTGTTTATTAGTGCTGGCATAAGCATGGGTGTTATGAGATATTTCTGCATCAGGCTGTGTCCACATATATCCGGATATATTTGAAAAAGGTGTTTCTGTTTTAAAACACTCTCTGATGATACATAGAGACAGACATCATAAAGTTCTCACGCTATTCTTCTGGCACTATCATTTATTAGCACATATCCCACAACTCACTGGTGCATCCGGGTTGCACTTAAAATTGCCATTCCATATATGGTCTAAAACAACATTAGCAACATCATTGAAGTGAATAGTAGGCACAACAATGCCAGTAAAACAATAGATTAAACATGCAACATCGCTTTCGAATACCTCTGTTTCCACAGTCCACACTACAACATGAAAACTGTTTTCAAATTGATCCACTTGGATAAATAGGTAGAGAAAAAAGATGCGTTTTCAAATTCATCCGGATTTATGCGTATATAGCCTCAGTGACACTGGCTGCGTTTACACTTGGCATTAACATGCGATCACCGTGATCCGATGGATCTGTCTTTCCCGCGCAATATTTAAATAAGTCTGCAGTGCAAAGCCGACCTGAAGTTGTGGGTTTTCTTTTGAAAACTATTTTCAGTCGTGGGACATTTTACAAATCAAAATAAATGTACGAGTCTCACTAGCGCTCTGTTCTTCTGACAGTTCGAGAGAGAGGGGGCAGTGTTTTGCGTGATGTCGACTTGCGAATGCAGACACGATGGCTGGATTGCGTTTACATTATACTGAGATCCGATCACAATGCGTCCTCGACTACCTCTGGACCAGGACATGCTGATCGGATAACATTCCGATCAGAAGCGCGTTTACACTTGTCTTTTCAATGTGTATGTGGACAACATCTGGATACAGGTCGCATGTTAATGCAAAGTGTAAACGCAGCCACTGATAGGTCATTTGATGCTGGCAGAAGCTTAAAGATGTGCACTCAAAATACTGGCCATCTGAAATGGACACATGCTATACTAACCGCTGAGATGTACTGGCTGTTAAAGCAGGGTTTCTCCTGGGTGGGAGAGGTGATGGTGGAGTAACAGGAGGAGTCACACGGTGAGCTAGGCTCCTCGGACAAAGCCTCTGGAAGGTGACTCGACACACATCCGCTGTCTGACCCGCTCGAGCCACTACCTGACAGACAGCGAGACGACAAACCCGAACTCTCTGTACCTACAAACACAAGTCAAAGATCAACATCCTGTTATATATGTGGTTTCTGAGAAAGTGTTTAACACTTTCAAACATGTTATGATACATACTCATAGACGGCTGACTGCTGGTCTCATGTTCCAGCTCGTCTTCCTCGATGCAGGGGCTGATGAGAGGTCTCTCCCCTGCTAACAGGCTTTGGCTGCTGTACATATGCAGATTCAAGGGCCCCAGCAGCGTGGAAGAGGAGGGGCCACCGGACACCGGGGGGCCGCTAACGGGAGCATTTACTGCAGCTCGTTTGAATGGGTTTGAGTGGTCAAAAAACGAGACAGCAATGGAGGCTCTCGTCCTGGCCCCTGTAACAGAAGAACGAGTATGACAATAGTAAAAACAACCCATAGAATCATTAGCTGCTTATTTATAATCAAAATATTATTCTGGTGAGAGCAAGTTATTCTGATAAGTTTGTCGTGTTAAACAGGCTCACCTCTGCCTTTCATAATGTAGTCAATGGCTCTGTCGTTGATAGCAGCATCACTGGGTTTAATGTCCAGGAAGGGTTTATTGCCCACCCCCATAGAGACCATCTCCTGCATTCGAACTTCTGCATACACACATAGAAACATGTTTAAAAACGCTGCCATATATCAGAAATTGAAAAGTACTGATGATAACTGAGATATAAAAAAAATTAAATATGGATATCACGTTAATACTGCACAAATGATATTATCATAAATAATCCGGCATCAGTAACCATATGGTTGACACTCCAATAACTGACATTAAGCTGCAGAAAGCATAAAGCACATATAAAGTGTAAAAAGTATTTCCTTAGGGATTGAGTAAATATATGCAAATACAGGTTGAACAAAGCCCTGGATTTGCATCATTTTCTCACACTCATATCAAACTGTAGAAATACAACACTGGTGTGACTCGAAAGTGTTTTAAATAGCTTCCAATCTGCCTGAGGCCTTTACAGATGAAATGCTATAATTTTTTTTTTTAGATATGCTAAGATGGTATTAGACAGGAAATATTATCTGCAATTATCCTCTCATGTTCAGCATGCTGAACAAAACAAATTCAAACAACTTATTAAAGCTCAACCGCTTCAGTTTTTCTTTCCCACCTTTATTCCGTGTGGCCTGCTGCCACAGTATCCGTGCAATGTCACAGGTCCAGGCATGTTTGATCTCGGCAGTGCTGGCTGCCTGAGGCCTTTACAGATGAAATGCTATAATTTTTTTTTTAGATATGCTAAGATGGTATTAGACAGGAAATATTATCTGCAATTATCCTCTCATGTTCAGCATGCTGAACAAAACAAATTCAAACAACTTATTAAAGCTCAACCGCTTCAGTTTTTCTTTCCCACCTTTATTCCGTGTGGCCTGCTGCCACAGTATCCGTGCAATGTCACAGGTCCAGGCATGTTTGATCTCGGCAGTGCTGGCTTGGAGAATGTAGGTCTGGTTCTTTGAACTTCTCCTCCTGAACCAGACCTCAAACCTCAGAGCGTTCTCACCCGACGTCTCTGTCATACCCACATCAGCCGTCTACAAAGAGAATGACAGAGTAGAGAGGATATTCACATATCCTCTCAATCAATATTGAGGGCTCATGGCATCTTGTTGTTATTATGGCTTGCAGGAGACCGAACTGATGCTGATATTAACATAGGACAGAGGACATATAATAAAAGGATGTCAGTGTATTAGTAAAAGAAACAATTGTCAATGCATTTGTGTTTTTCTGGAGATGTTTCCTGTCCCTCTAAACTTCAGATGTCCTGTAAGTGCTTACCTTAAAAGAGTGCTTGTAAATGTAAACATCTAGGCCACCCTCAATGCGTTTGGGTTTGCTGAACAGCACTAGATCCTCAAACAGGAACACATGTCTTTGGCACTTCTTCCTGCCATACCAAATAGTGAACTCATCTTGCCGAACCAACTGCCCCTGCTCTTTCAAGTTCACCTGGAAGAATAAAATATGAAATGGTAATGCAGAAGATCATTTGCTTTCCCACGTCTCAAATGTGAAGTGGTGTGTGTGTCTGCTTACATCACAATCTCTGATAGCGTCCATGGCGAGCAGATCGTTGCCATGGCGAAGCTGGAATTTGACCATCTCGGTGGAGGCACATAGGTACGTTAGCTCCTGCTCCTGGACTTCACTCACTTCTTTGATCAGGTCTTTCAGCAGCAGGGCGTACTTACTCATGCGCTGGATGGGCTTCAGCAGGTAGGACGCCAGGTCCATCTTATCCCCCAACTCCAGCTGCTTATGCTGAAACAGGAGAGATTTTTACAGTTTCAGCCCATGAGGTTAGATGAATGTGCTTTGAGCAGTTCAACATAAGTGGAATAAACTCCACACCCAGATTAAAAGTCATGTAAGATTTTATTGAAAAACTAAAAGCTTATCATAGGTGGTTTAAAGTGTAGCATTGGTTTAGTTACTCACCCTGAAGAAGCTGTTTCCATGACTGGCCAGAAGTGTGTCTGACTTTGGCTTGTTCTTGCTGTATAAAGCATACAAGCTGAACTGGTCTTGCTATGTTCATATGGAAAAAACACAAAAGAGAAATATTTTAAGTGTTATCATCCACATTTCCGTATTCATGTTCTGAAGAATAATTCTCTTGTTGATCCGGAAATGGAGGGAGGGAGCATTTTCCCAAATTATTTCCTAGGTTGAGTTTTGTTGGAAATACTTTTTTTGTGTTTGGGTAAATTGTTTTATAATGACTTTCAGGTTCATATGGAGTGTGCAGTAATTTCAGGGCAGGTTTTGCCACGGCAGAAATATGTCATAAGTGATTTTAGCATAGTAGGCCATTGCTGTAGGCCAAACAGCCTACCTCTGTGTCTTTTTCTCTCTTTTCTCTGTGAATCAGGTGAACCAGCACTATGAGTTTACCACAACTAGAGAGAAAATAAAGGAGATATAGGTCTTGCAATCATTTAAAGACCTCAGAATCACTTCTTATGGCTCGGTTTGATTCTCATATTCATAGAGGGTGAAAGGAAGAGAGAAAGCAAACACAGAAAGAGTACTTTTCAGGATGGTTTTAGACTTGTGACGAGTCAAAAATGAGTCAGTCATGGACTGGGAACAGACGAGCCCTGACAAATTAAGCCCCTTTTGTTTCATCTCCAATGAAAATATGATTCAATTTGTGACATTTAATTCAGAATCCCCGAATGATCTCTATTAGAATTGAAAACATAAGAACAGTTAGAATTAATAGACTGTGAAATGTAACTAAAAAAACCAGATCTGAAGTAATGCAGTTTGACATGTCCTAGTTACTGTGAAAAGACTGAAGGATCTCTCTTACATGTCGTAGGAAGCAGTGGCTGACGCGTAGTGGATGATTGCAGCAGCTCTCAAGCTCTTTCAGGAAATACTGGCTGTGGAAGTCCACCAGCTTCTCCAGGTTTCCGAAGATGACGCTGCGCTTTCCCCGCAGGTCCTGTGGCAGGTCAGTGCGCTCCATCTCAGGGAAATAGTTGTCAATGATGTACCGCAGAGAACGCACATATTCCCGCTCCGTTGTTACCATCTCATCTACGATGTGGCATAGTTTACTGAAAGACAGAGAGAGTGTGCACAATTAACATACTCCAAATGCTTACATTTGATAAGATTTTAACATTTCTGTGAGATTTTAAAAACTTTTACAACAAAATAAACATTAGGCAGCACAATTGTTTCAACATTGATAATAACAAGAAATGTTTCTTGAGTTCCAAATCAGCAAATTAGAATTATTTTTGAAGAATCATGTGAAAATGAAGACTGGAGTAATGGGTGCTGAATATTCAGCTTTACCATCAAAGAAAAAAAAAAATTACATTTTAAAATACATTACAACAGATTTTTTTTTAAAATTGTAATAATATTGCAAAATTCTGCTGATTTACTGTATTTTTTCCCCCCTGGGTGAGCATAGGAGACATCTTTCAAAAACATTTTAAAAAAATCTTACAGACCCCACACTGTGACATCAGCATGTGTATATCAGTGTGACATCAGCATGTGTGCCCTAACAGCTTTGTCAGACTATGCAACCATAAAGGACAGGTGTTTTCACTTGTCTCTCTAGGATGTCATATGCTTTCTCCCTGAAACACTCAAGCCAATCACTTGTGAGAGCCCATGATCTCTAACTCACTGGATGGCTCACTCATTATTTATGCAACATAAATGTATATATTCATAATTAATATATAATATTATTATTATTATATAATTTATTTATTATAATTACAGTGGGTACGGAAAGTATTCAGACCCCCTTAAATTTTTCACTCTTTGTTAAGTAATTAATTATGAGCCAGGCTAAATATATTTGTCTGTGTTTTTTGGCAGCACTGTTGCTCATATTCTGTTACAACATCACACTGCATTTATTCCAGTGTGAGTGTGTGTGTTCTGTGACACAGCTATCAAAAAGTGGTGGATATACAGTAAGTGGTTTTATGCTGAAGCATTCTTTAGTCGATGGCCTGCAGACCGCCCTGGTTGATTGTGTTTATATTACAGCAAGTGAGTGTGGGTAAGCACTTGCTTAAGTGTACCCACCTGCCCTTGTTACGTGTTTCTGGTGCAGGAGTCCCGCTGCGGTGAGTGTCAACAGAAGACCATTCATGCATGGGCGGTAGTCGCGGGCTGTACGGCCGATCGATCACTTCCATGCTGCTCACCTCCAGACCCTTAATGAACACCCCTGTGTTTCCTCTCCGTGCAGGCTCACTCAAAGTTCTCTGACAGGTCCCATACCGTGACACAGACTCGCTACTGGCCGTATCAAAGCTCTGGGTCTTCCGCAAAACCCTGCGGTTTGGTTCGATAGAGGTGAGGCTTGGGCTTGTAGCACACGCCTGCCCCTCCAGATGTGGCTGCTGCAGAGACTCGTCTGTGGAGATGCTACGTGTTAGCCTGTGGGACCTGACAGGGGTGCTTCTGTGCTCAATGCTATATGGACTTCCTGATGGGGTTCGGACAGAGTCACGGGTGTCCATGCGAATGCCTGAAGGACTGCTAGGAGTTGAGGATATGCTTGACTGTGAGGAAAGTCTGTCCCGGCCCCAGCCTCCGCCGAACGCTTTCCGACATGAAAAGGAGATGCTACTGCTACGCTCCTGAGGTTTAGCTCTACAGTCCGAGTTCTGGCGAGAGGAGTCACCCATCGCTGATTTGGAGTCACTCTCACGGTGGGTGCGCAGGGCCATCTCCAGCTTCTTCTCAAACATCTGCTTGGTCTCCTGACACTTGGACCAGGCAAACTTCCACTGCTTGAGTCCCTGTTCACTCTTCATCTCCCCAGCGAGGTCCTTCATCTCCTGGAAGTGTGCGTCTGGGATCGGGGGGTGCTGACTGCGATAGGTCTCCAAACACGCGATCACACTCGAACACTTCTCAGACATGCCACACTCCTCCATACTAATACATGCCAAATGACGCATGCCCTCTAGCGCCCATTCATATGCCTAAAAGAGAGAGAGAGAGAGAGAGAAAAAAAAAAAAAAAGTCAGCCGATGTGATGCCTACAATGAAAAAAAAAATGCGAGAGATACATTAAAAATTGTGTATGGTAAACCCAGTGTTACATACTATTGTAGTATTTATTAATATGAAAATAAACTAGTTTTTTTTTTTAGTTTTCATTTTAATTTTAGTTTACATTTACGCTTTTATTCAAAGCGACTTACTAAAGAGAAACAAAAGTAATTTGTCAAAGAGCCAACAATATTTATAATATTCAATGCCAATTTATAGTAATTTTAAGTGTTTTTTATTAGTTTATTTAATTTTCTTAATATTATTCTTATTTATAGTTTTTCTTATTATTTTAGTTTTAGTTTCAGCAATTTTAGTACTTCAACTGATTTCAATTAGTTCTATTTCTATTTTTTCCATCTGATATTTATCTAATTCTACAGTAGCTTTATTTCAATTACTGAAAGCATTTTTAATAGTAATAGTCGTTTTAATCATAATTTGTAATAGTTTATTTTTAAATCAAAATAACAACACTGGGTAAAACGACAGCTTAAAAAAACATGAAAAAAGGGAATGAAGGCAATATGTCAGAATAAGAAGTTTTTATGCATGTTTGAGAAGAGAGGAGACTTTTTATGGAAAACAACTACGTATAAATGCAGCGTCAATGGGGGTAAGGGAAGGGTAGAGTGAGTGAGAAACCTCCCAGCATTTCTTTCATGTGAAATAAAGAGGTTTGTAGCCAGGAGTTGGGAGGTCTGGGTAAGAAGGCTTTAACATGCAGCTCAGCAGCAGGAGGGCCTATAGTTTCAACTATGTGTGACAGCACCCTGCCACAAAGACACATGCCAACCGCTTTACTAGCTGTCTTTCCATTTATGAGAAAATCTGATGGCCCCTTCTCACACTCCAAGATGCTGTTACATCAACTGGGCGGCACTCTTGTTTTTAGACCTTTTTTCATCAGCATCCTGGCGGGCAGGTTTCTATAGTGAGTGCTCCTGAGGATACAAGTGCTCACCGTGCTGGGAAATGAGTGGTTAAACTTCTGAGAGGATTAAAACAGATCAAACGCAACCCCCTTCCACCTCACACACACACACACACACACACACACACACACACACACACACACACACTTCAGTGCTGACTGCAAACACAGGGTTGTGTTTAGACATTCCTGAGAAAGGAGCAAAACTCCCCCTCTTCTCTGTCTTTCTGTGCACACACAAAACCTCCACAATCTACTTTAGCTGCTATGTGACATGTTGACATCGCTTGGCTCCCCAAGCCCCTTGGCTCTGTCTCTTTTTCAGGTTAGGGTGACACGGAGGCCACATGCCAGCGTATGGGGCTTTGGCACCCAGATACTAAAGTCTCTCACAAGAGCAGGGGTCAGAGGTTAGCTGCTCACAGTAACAATACACACAACTAAGAAGTGACAGAACAGATAGAGGAGAGAGACATATACAAAGAAGACATAAAAATACGCAAATGCGACATAATTGATGAGTGAGAACCAAATGGTGACAATGAATTTTAAGGTACTTGTTAACAGAGTCACAAAAACGTGTACATATTTTTTGGTTTCTTTGAAGCAATATTCAGGGTTAAATACAACTTAAACTGTTTTACAATGGAAAACCACTTCAAAAGGATTATTAAGATGACTTTTAATCTCAAATATTAAAGTAACGAAAAACAAAAAACAGATGTGACAACTTTGCAAATTGATTAAAATTCAAAAACTGGAATAAGTACATTGCATAAGTAACGCAGTACTTAGTTGAAGCACCTTTACAGCCTCAAGTGTTTTTGGTATGATGCAACAAGCTTTGCACATGTGCATTTGGCAATTATCTGCCATTATTCTCCTCACCTCTTCACCTCTCAAGCTCTGTCAGCTTGGATGGGGGCTGGCAGACATTTTCAGGTTTCTCCAGAAACGTTTGATTTTGTTCAAGCTCAGGCTCTGGCTGGGCCACTCAAGGACATTCACAGAGTTGTCTATAAGCCACTCTTGCTGTGTGCTTAGGGTCATTGTTCTGTTGAAAGGTGAACCTTCTGCCCAGTCTGAGGTTCTGAATGCTCTGGACTGGGTTTTCATTAAGGCTCTCTCAATATTTTGCTGTGTTGAGCTTTCCTTCTACTCTGACGAGTCCCTCAGTCCCTGCCGCTGAAAAACAGACCCACAGCATGAGGCTGCTACTGCCACACTTAACTTTTGGGATGCTATACTCTGCAGGTGATGAGCAGAGCTGGTTTCCTTCAAACATGATGCTTAGAATTGAGGTTCATCAGACCAGAGAATCTTGTTTCTCACAATCTGAGAGTTCTTTAGGTGCTTTGTTGCAAATTCTAAGTGTGTTTTCATGTGTCTTCATTGAGGAGAGGATTGAGTTTGGCCACACCGCCATAAAGACCAGATCGGTGGAGTGTTGCAGTGATGTTTGTCCTTCTGTAAGTTTCTCCCATCTGCATATATGATCATGGAGCTCAACTAGAGTGACCATCAGCTTCTTGGTCACCAGTCAAACCAAGGCCCTTCTCCATCGATTGCTCAGTTTGGCCAGGAGGCCGGCTCTAGGAAGAGTCCTGGTGTTTCCAAACTTCTTCCATTATGGATAATAGAGGCTACATGCTTCTGTGAACCTTCAATGCAGCAGAATTTTTTCTGAACTCTTCTCCAGATGTGTGGCTTGGCGCAATCCTGTCTCTGAGCTCTACAGGCAGTTCTTTTGACCTCAGGGCTTGGTTTTTGCTCTGATTCGCATTTTCAGCTGTTAGACCTTTTATTGAGAGATGTGTGCCTTTCCAAATCATACTCATTCAAATGAATTTGCCACAGGTTAACGCCACTCGAAGTGTAGTAACATCTACAAGCGATATGAATGCTCCTGAGCTAAATAAATAATTTAGCATGTATAATATTTAACCTAAAATAAAAAAGGATAATTAATAGATACACATCAATCCATTTTCCAAAATGCTTGTCCTATGTACAGTAGGGCAAACACAAACAAATGTAAAGCTCTCTGTTCCCACAGTAAAACAGCACAAACGGTTGATGGTGATAAAGTCCGCCACAGGTTCTGCAGAGGACCTGGGGTCAGAGACAAAAACTACTCCCCTCGGTGGAAAAAATACCCCCCGCCCTGTGCTTTCCCCTTAGTGAAATAAAGCAGACACTTTGATCTATAGCCCAATATAGTTCCTCACTCTATCTGATGATGCCCGTAATACTGTGGGCAGGGGATGACATCATCATTTGTTTGGTTAGCGTGTGAGGCTCTTTGAAGTGTGAATGGAGAGAGTGTGTGTGTGTGTGTGTGTGTGTGTGGTGGGGCTCTGATTGGTTGAAGCAGAATTAGTTTGCCTGAGGGAGGCACCTCTAAAGGCCCCACTATTCAACCCTGCACAAAGAGTGAGAGAGAAACACAGAGAAATGGAGAGAGAGTGTTAGATGTGCTAAAACAGAGCAATGGGAGTAAGACAGATCCAGTCTTGGACTGAGCTTTTGTACACTCCCATAAATGGATCTCTTAGCAGTTTAAGTAGGTCAAGAGGAGCATTTTAAACTTGAAAGAATCCATCTTTTATTATTTCCTCTAAAAGAAAACCACGAAAAGGAGGAAAGGTTTTCATGACATCAGCCAGTCTCTGATCTCACGTCTAAGCCATGCCAAGAATGTGTTTTTTTTCCTTAAAGGATAGCGTGTCAAAATGTGAGCGGCTATTATGAACACTGGGTTTTTTGGAGGCACGGGCTTAAATTCTTCTGACAGTTATTGCTCTGTAACTCACCAGGCCAAGCTACAGGCAGGGTGCTTAACCCCGACACAAGACCCCGGCATACTGCCCTGTCATTTCATTACAGCTGAAATGATCTCCTCTTTCTGAGCGGCTGAAAATAAAGAAGGAATGGTAAAATGAGGGAAAATGTAAGGGGAATGGGCTGTGGACCCTCCTGAGCCAAAAAGCAGGATTTGGATGAGTGATTATGGAAAAAGAGCATGAAAAGAAAGAGTGGGAAGCAAATAAAGAGGGAACACAAAAAAGGTTGATTTGCTATAGACTGCAGAAAAGAGTGAGAGAAAAGACCACTTTTTTAATGAAGACACCCTGCAGAGTGTAGGAAGACCAACCGGGACCAGTTCCACAAAAAATACATTCTTAGATTAGCAAAACAATTTAAAAGAGCACAAATATTCACAGCACCCTTCATGGATAAAATAAAAATAAAACGTTGTCATTTTAATAATTTAACACATTTTTAAATGATATTTTTATGATTTAACAGCAACAACTATTACTTTTGTAAATTAAAGAAAAAAATATTTACGGTATTTGTTATAATAAATACTAAAAAATATTACTTTTCAGTTCAATGGCAGCATGTTATGCACATAGCATATGCCATATGCTATCTGAAAGCTCAATCTAAAGTAATGCAAATAAAATGAAATGAATAGTAAAGGATGAGGAAGAGGGATGGAGAGCACAAGAGAGACAGCACCTGTATGATAACTAGCCCCTGTATGTTGACTAATTCAATCTAATTGTGGTTTTCAAAGCAAAAGAATGGTGCACTAAATTCACCAAACCTAAAAATCAGTAAAGGTCATTAATCTTAAACCGATCAATTAATGCCTAATGCTGTTGTATGATTGATGAGGAAAGTTTTGTGATTCAGTTTGGTTTTGTTCTTTTGTTGTGCATGTCAGTGGTGACGCATGCAAGCGCTGACTGTGGGGGGAACGTCTCTGTGTTTCCTATAAAGCTTCATGAATGTCAAAGCCGGAGGAATCAGGCTCGAGAAAGAAGAGTTCAGCGATGGCATGCACACACACACAGAGGCAATAATCTGGGTGTTATATTAGATAGCAACTTGTCTTTTGAAAATCATATTTCCCATGTTACAAAAACAGCATTCTTCCACAAATAAACTTGACTTGACTTGACAGAGGAGGGGACTCGCAGCCCGTGA